GCTGCGACACTGTGAGATCCCATGTCTTCAACCAAATCATAACGAGAACTCATAATCTTTCCTACAAACATATAGCATATAAACAATAATCACAATTGGTCAAAAGAAATGAAGGAATTACATAAACAAGATAAGCTATAACAATAGGTGGAGAACACAGATTATTTTGTTGGGTACCGGAGGCCAAATAACATCAGCTATTAGTTTCTTCTCGATCAAGCCTGGGTTTACCAACTCAATAATGTCGAAGAGCCTATTTTGCTATAAAGGAAACAAATTCATATTATCAAAACAACATGCACACAAGACACACCAAGGAGTTGACAAGTAGACCATACACATGCATTCGCCAATAATTTTTTTTACATTTAAAGCTCCATTCTTTTTCCTTTTCTTTCTCCTTAATTCAAAACCACTATCCCCCTTTAACGAGTCGAGGACATAGAAGTTCAATATCTTTAGCTTTAGCATGAAATACATCCAATGATGGTTCATAAGAGCTGGATCGAGGATGAGATCGCATTTAGCTATATTGTATCCTATATATTCAGGTAGGATATCCCTCATGTTCTTTGTTGCCTTCCAAATGAGGGAATTTGATGTCATTTTGCACTACAAATAAGAACACATTATGCTATAAATTACAAAAAACAAAACATAATAAACATGATATTTTAAATTTAATTTTACCGGAAGCTAACCATGAAGTTAGCATCAAATATATGATGACAGACTGGACCTGAATCCTTGATATCACCCATTAATGCATGGTACAACTAGTCATGAACTACAACCACCAATGAGTTCACGTTATTTGTACATTACTATGTGTAAATTATAAAAAAAATAAATTTAGACACTATCTCACCCTGTTACTAATCCACTGCATTCCTCCCAAATAGCGAAGTTTATCATGAGTAAGATATTGATCAAACATTTCAACTAAGATCTTAAAATAGGAAATAATAAATAACTTCTCTTAAACTGTTGGAAATGAATGAAAAATTAGGTAACAATGACTATTTACTCATTACCTTCCTCCCTTTTACACATGTGTGATACAATTGAAACCAATTGTTGCTTTTTATCAACCTTCTTCTTTGTCTTATTCACCGACTACGATATAACTTAAGGAGACCTAATAGTTAGTATTTTTTTCCTTATAGATCTCTTAAGTTGTCATTCACCATCATCTTCCTTAACTTCCTCCTCTGATTTTTCCTCTTCATCCTTTCTTAGGAAGATACATGAATTGGATATGATAAATTATTAGTTTGTTCTCTCCTCCTCCTCCTCCCTTATCACCTCTACATTCCTTTTCATCATCATCATCTTCTGCTTCTTTGTCTCCTCCATCTTCTTCTTCTTTATCACCTCCATCGTTTTCTTTTTTGTCTTCTTCAAACTTAGAATTTGCCTTGTCTTGTTCTTCAAACTCGAAGGCTGGCTTGTCGTTACTACTATATCTTACTCGGTCATCTTCTTCCTCAACTTCAACACTTGACTTGCCTTCTCCTTTTAATTTCCACGATGCTTCCCTTTTCGTCTACTCCTTTTTGAATGCAAATTCGACATAAGCAATTAATCTTTGGTGGTTTTCTTCAATAACCCCCATTATTGTTGAAAATAAGTCCTTCAATTCCTGCACATTTACAAAATGTAAATAGAAAAAAAAAACTTGTTGTAAATGTTATTTTGTCCAAAACAATGAGAAATAAATATCGAGTCTAAATATGATGTCGTTGGTCTCTTCTTGGTAACGGTGGAAGTGGGCTCTTCTGCAGAAGCACCATAAAGTAGCCCAATATTGCTGTCTCTCTCCTTTTGTAGTCTTTCATTGGCTCTATTATCGGTCCAATATTGGATAGTATTTCTTAAATCATGATCACTTGTTTTGACTAATGGAAAATGCTAAAAAAATAGATTTGCAAGAACATATATATAATTATCACATTATACTTAGTATGAATGCATTAGAGTAAAGAGAATACCATAAATTCATCAATACATACCACTAGAAAGTATAAGTATCCTCCAACATTTGTAGTCCTATTCTTCTTTTTCCTCATTTGTTTCAAATACTCTTCCAATTCTTCACACAAGTCATCTAACATGTATTTTGACCAATTGAAGTCTTTCATTGCATTCTTAGTACAATACATTACCTTAACCATTCGCTCATTGACATTAGTACTAGCACTCGGACATAAAAGTATTCCCAATGTGTACAACAAAAATAAAAACTCAAAGTTTTCATCCTCCGCTCCAAATTTAATCAATGCTAATATCTTTTTATATGGAAATTTATAATATTTTTCCCTTAACCTCAAGAATACTTCCTCTTGATATCCACCTCTATTGACACCCTATCCCAACCAAAAGGTAATCCTATCAATGTGTAAACATTTTCTACTTTCATTTCTTTTGACTTCCCTTTAATGCAAAATTGATAGGTAGGTGGATTATATGAAGATATTAATTGGTAGTAGAGGTCTCAAGGGAGTATTTTCCATCGGATATCAAGCAACACCCTAAACTCAATGTTCTCTACCCTCGTTCTTAAATTTTTGTTCTCTCTCACGAACTCTGCAAGTTCTATAAACTGCCTCACAGAGCACCTTGTGTGAATAGAAATCTTGTATTTATTTTCTCCAGCATGTCTATCAGATTTTAATTGCCTAGCCTTCTTAACATATTTGTCCTTTTTAGCATCTGGCAACTTTTCCCATGCCTTCAGCTCATATTTTATTATATGTTTTAGCCTTATTTTTTTTATATTTATATTCATTTTCCTTGAGAAAGTTCTTCTTAAAAAGACTTAATGCATTCACCATCTTCCCTATCCTAAAAAATCAAGTCTTACTGTCAATAATTTATAATAAGCACTAGTCACAGCAACAAAGGTCAAACAAAATCATACCAAAATCAAGATATGAGTCATGCAAATGTCATTATTATTTTCTTCACATAAATTGGGCTAATGGAACAAGAGGATGACAACATTGGTCAAAATTATAAGGATGAAGTGGTCAAATTTTACAAAACCTTAAACTTTCTTCCTTATGTCTAATATTATATTACTATATATATATATATTTTGGATAAATGGATCAATATAATAGCCAATACTAAAAAGTAAACAAACAATTCAACTTCAGTAATTAATTTGTTTGTTCACTTAACTAGTTAATTAGTTCAAGTGGTTGGTACTAGCTAGTAATATAAATTTCCCTTCCTTTTGTTCCTATCCTTCAAACTCTACAGCTAAAGCCAACTAGATAGAAATACATATAGAGGAAAAAGATAGTCGACACAAATTTGATGCAGGACTTTAACAGTGTGGTATATTTTCTCAAAAAACAAAATAGAAGAAATGATCTTTAATTCCCACACCATTATTTAATAGTTAACAGTGAATTTTGCATCTCATGGAACATGGGAAGATTACTATGTAACCCAATTTGATGAGACTATGAAACAATCATTTTCAAAAGTGTAGAGAAGGAAAGGCATAAGCTAGAAGATGTAACCAATTTTTTTAGAATGCAATCATAACTTATCGAGAGTCAAGAAAGCAGCGGCAATAAAATAAGCCTCCAATTACACACCAACATTTTAAAAAGTCAAACCTCAAACCATAACAATTGAACTTCAAATCAAGGGGGAAATCAAATCTCAACGTAAACAATCACTATGGGATCATAGTAGGAGGAAACATGAAGGCCACATTGTGGGCACTATGGTGTTGGAGTACAGAGAGTCCAACTAATAGAACACAAGAAATAAGAAGCAACATTCCTGCTTAAGGGTATACATGTAAGCTTTCATAGCAAAACTACATAGATTGCATACTATTTCATAGAGACATAGGACTAAACCAATACAGGCTATGGAATTCAAAAATTAAAACTGTTGGGAATAAAACTAGCATTGAATATTTCATGAATTCCACTTTACATGTTTGTTTCCTTACAGTCGGTTGCAACCCTGGTATAACATCATGAACTTGGTCTATGAGAGAGGGAAGTCATCCAAGTTAAAGGCCTTGAAAAAAATTAGCATCATGTGATCATCACATTCCCTATTAATTACTGTCACCATTTTATGACTTTACCTTACAATCTAAGTTGCAAGACATAGGCAGTAGTTTTCATGATAACAAAATAATGCAATACAATTATGTCTATAATTAAAAAAATTTGTTGATTTATTTTGTTAAGATCATTGAGGCATTAATTATCATGAAAGTGACCTAGATAACTAATCAGACCCACAAAGGAATAAATACCTACGAAAGCTAAGAAGAGGAATACACACCTTAATTAAGTGCGACTGGAGAGAGAGGGAGAGAAGTTGCTACTGTCGAGAACACAAACACATCCACAAACCAATGCTGACAAACCCACTGCGGAGAACATCGAGACGAAGTTGATGGCCAAAGCTGCTGGAGAACAACAAAATCGCAAACGAGAACGCTACAGCCACATTTGCGACGATGATATTGTGATGGAAAGATAGTGATGGAAGCTCACAAAGCTCAGGCGACACATGACAACAATGACTAAAGAGACAGAGCACGACTGAAATTAGGGGAAATGACGTTTTTTTTAAAATTTGAATTAAGGGCAAAACTGTCATTTCCTCAAATTTCCTAATGACAAAAGGATCCCCAGGGACCTAAGGAAAATTATATCATTTTGTGAGATCAATCTGTCAATTAGCTAATTTAAAGGAACTTTATTATCATTTTTTCTTAATTTTTTAAGTTAATTCTACTTCATCATGTTTAATTCGTTGAAATTTTTTTGAAGGAATGGAAATTGAAAAGTAATCAAGATGATAATAAATGTTTTAAAAAACACAGTTGGTCATTTGGTGGCTTTTTTTAAATAAAATTTTAGTAAAATTTTTTATTTAGTACATTTTTTTTTTTGGGTTGAGGAATTGAGTATAAAAACCCCGACAAAATTACTGAGGTAAGTTTCATTCAAAAATAATAATAATACTACAGAAGTAGCCGAACCATATTTCTCGAGCATTCTACGCTCCGTCGGACGCCGTCCACCGTTGCCTGCCCTGCGTGGTTGTTCTCGAGCAAGTAGTGAAGAAGGCTAGAAGGATTTCCCAAAATCCGGTGAGATTCATCTGTTCAATCTGGCTTAGAATCTGTTACCCACATCATCTGTTTCCTGCGTGGTTGTTCTTGCTGTTTTAAATTTTTCATTTTAATTTGGTCCTTAATCATTTGAACATTGACGCTTTTGAATTGGGGAATATTTGCAGATTGAGTTTAATTTCTGTTTTTTTGACTATTTTTTGCTTGAATGGTGTGCAGCTGGCTATTATGCTTGCTTCTGCCCTCTTCATTTTGATTACTAGCGACTTCTATGCCTTGGATTGTGCTGTTTTGCAATGTATTGACATTCTGTATCTTAGTCTCTTTATATTATCATCAATTTAGAAAATTGTCAAGGTATTTGTGAGGTATGATCTTGTGAATAACTTGGCTCGAGTTGTGTCAAAGTATCTGGCACAATATCAACTATGCATATTTCAAAAAGATCTGCCCCCGCTGAGTGTAATATAGGCTCGCCTATGAGTATTTGTATTAGGATGGCATGGGATTAGACTGAAATATTTCAGATGATATTATCCAAACTTTTCATCGAACAAATTTGTTTTAATCTACATGGATTACCAACATGTCAACAATTTCAGTAAGATCTAAGCATAGCTGGTTCAAGCTTTTTAATTCCAGGGGATGCTTAGTGGCCTGGACCCTGGAGTTAAATAGGCATATTTTGAGTATCATTGTTTCTTTGACGTGTCAAACATATATCTGTATTGGAGTATGAATCTCTCGAGCATAAATTGATTTTTAGATTCTTCCTTATTAATCGCATTATGCATTTGATATAGAACCTTGAAATTGTGGCCAATTGAATCAGTGAAGTGTGAGAAGGTGCTTATAAACAAATGGATTTAGTTTTTCTGCCGTTGTCACTTTGTCAAACTTGTTTTATGATAATTGTAGAAGAGTTCCATGGTTGAGATTTTGGTTGAGGAACTATTGCAACGAGTAATCCCTCCATCCCTTTTTATGAGAGCGATCATGAGATTCATGGATACCAAGAAAGTATGAAAATTTATTTGATGCCTTAGAAAGTTGAGTTTCTACCCAATTCTGCCCTCCATTAAATGTCATGATGTTGCATAACTTCAAATGCCTTTTAACAATTCATCCTTTATAAGGGGTATATTTGAAAGTTTTCTAATTTTTCCTAGAATCTCTAAAAGACTCTTGCAGAAATGGACACTATACCCCTTGAAACTTGCTCTTATGAAAAAGGACGGAGGAGTAATTTTATAAACTGTGTAGAGTGAGTTAATGCATTTTAATTTTCATTTCTATTCATCCAAAGCACAATGTTGGCTTTATCAACTGCTACTCAACTGTTACAATTCTTGACATGTGATTCTGATGAGGTACTGTTTGAATGAAATTATAAGTTATCCCGGTTTCTATTGCTGAGGTGCCCATGATAAGTTTGTGTACTCTGAATCATAAGCTCTGTCTTGCATGTCTGCTAATGAAGTTATTTTCCTGCAAGTTCTTGCAGAGAGAAAGTATTGATGCTGCTTCTCAAAGACATAGTGCCTGCCGCACAGAACAACATAGATACAAAATTTATACTTTTGGAGAAAGGAAGGATAACATTAGAAGGGCAAAATAAGACATGTTTGGCACTTGCAGCTGATGAGACTGCAGCAGTTCACTATCAGTTCTGGGGAGATGAGTGCGACGTATTCGAGCCTGGTGACATCATCCATTTGGCCAACGGTATTTTCTCTTACCACCGCAATAATCTTGTACTAAGGGCGGGCAAGAGAGGAAAAGTAGAGAAGGTGGGAGAGTTTACTATGGCCTTTGTTGAGACACCAAACATGAGTGAGATTCATTGGATTCCTGACCCAAATAATTCTACGAAGTATGTCCAGGATTATGTGATATCTCCCCACTCTCGCATTTTCCCTCCAATGACTTAAGTAATGAGAACATTGATTGTCATGGAGTTGTTCTCTACATAGTTTAAACCAAAAATCTCTGGGGCTGATAAATTTTCTTTTGCTTTAATAGCTTATGTTATTGATAAGCGCTTCTAACTAGTGATATATATGGTGTGTTTGGATTAGAAATTGTGGAGCTAAAGTTGGAATCATTTGAGGTTTTGCAAACTGAAATTAGGATAAAAATCAGTGATTTATGTTTGGACATTGTTTTTCCTCTTAAAAGTCAGTTAACCTATAAAAATCATTGAAGTTTGAAGCGCCCAAACCTCGGCTTAGATCAAATCCAAACATAGCCATACTTTGTTCAGCGTATTTCCCAATTCATTTATTGTCTTAATGGAGAGCCGTGTATCTATTGTCTCTAACGGAAATCATTTGCTTTATTAATTAATGATAAGCATCGTTTTAGTTTAGTTTCATGTGGATTTATGTATATATAGATGTTGATGATCATACACTTATTTTCCCATCTTTGACTCAATTAAATTTACTCCTCTTCTTTTTATATATAAGAGAAAAAAATTATATCACGAAAGTTGATTAATCATAATAATTATGTTTGAAAATAAAAAAATTGAATTAAAATGTCCTATGTTAATCAACGTAAGCATTCATTAATTATTTTTTATTAGCATAAATTATGAGGAGTAATTTAAAAAATATGTAATAAATGTTTATTGAAATATATAATTTTATTTACATAAAAAAATAAATAAAAAGTGATAATTTTTTTTATAAATAAAAAATGGAGTAGAATATAGCAACAAAAGATATTATCATTAATGAGTTGACTCATTATTCATAATAGTAGTTATGCCAAACAGGTAATGAAGGCTTCATAGCAAAGCTATGATTTTCAGGCTTGAAAATGTCAGCCACAGAGCACTAGCAAATCCACAAGACTGTATATTCCCATTGTTTTACTTTATTACAATTGATTGAAAATGAAGCCCTTGCACATACGATAATCAATGACAAACCAATGACAAACTCGATTTACGAGATAAAATAGTAGCAATCAAAAAGGATACATAAACAAGCCATATGCTATAGAGCGATCTCATTCATTTCGTTAAAAATTAGTGTTATTATAATGAAGGAACATCCTTTTTGTTGTTTCCTAATCAAATTAATGCATGGCCAAATAAAAAAAAATTCAAATTAGTGAAAGAACAGGGGATAATCTTTTTCATTAAATTTAAATTTCTATTTGATGATCTAGATGTAATTTCTGTGCATTACGGAGTAAAAGGACAAAAAGTCACATTATTCACCATTGATAAATAGTATAAACTGTTAAGAGTTTTATTACACTTTTAATTCTATATGTAAGTCCCATTCAATATGTTCACAAGAATTAAAAAAAATTTTAAAACTCATTTATTCTATTTAAAAATTTAATAAGTTTTTAACTTCACTTTATAAAATATAAATACTTTAATAACATATTATCTCTCTAGAAGATAGAAGGAAAAATTTGTAATGAAAATTTAATGTGATTTATAAATAAGACAATTTTTTTTTTTTTACCTTATAAATAAGATCAAGAGGAGTATATTATATTAAAATTGATGCACATCACATTTATCTGCTAGGTTGATTAAGGGGACAATTTTCCTTCCAAATCCTTAATATTAGCTATTTTTTAAACTAGATTTTAGATAGTGCTTGGAAGTATTTTTAAATAGAATGAATGGAGTGTGATGGCTAAAAGAATTATACCATTGGTTGTGAAATTTTTTTAAAAGGGGATGGAATGGTTTAGAATGGCATTCCATACTATCATAAATTCATTTTTTTTACCCTCCAATTTGAAGGATCGAGGATGGAATGGTATGACATGATTAACATTATTACAAAATTATCCTCGTTCTTTTTAACCCATTGCACTCTTTCATTTTCACCTACCCTAAAAATAAAAAAAATAATTATATCTAATTTAAATATATTAATTTTATAATTATTTTTAATTAATGATTAAATAAAATCATTTATTTTTCTAATATAACACCCAAACAATTAAATATTTCATCCTATTCTTCTTTTTTCCCACTCCACCTTGTTCCATTTCATTGATGGCTATTCCTTTCTACTTCATCTTATACCCTCAAACATGGCCTTATATTTTAAGTTTTATGACAGGGACTGGCATGTTAGCCTGAATTAATATCTATATATTATGTTTATAAAATACTTCTATATTATAAAAAAACTTTTAATAGAATTATATTTTTAATGAGTTAATTAATTATATTTAAAATAATATTCTTTTTATACTTATTCTTATTTAATATGGTGTCTTAATTAAAAATATTATTAATTACATCATATTCCTTTTGAACCAAAATATAGGGCATTAATAACTGATTCAAAGTTTTCAAAAAATATCAATTGAAACATTAATTTCTTAGAAAAATTTACATCTTTTTAATTTTATTTTTGTTAAATATCTTATATAAGTATCTTGATAATGATAAGTGCTTTAATAACTGATTCAAAGTTCTTAAAAAATGTTAGTTGAAAGATTAATTATTTTAAAAAATTTACATATTTTTAATTTTATCTTTATTAAATACCTTATATAAGTATCTTGATGATGATAATTAAAATTTTAATACATCATTTTTTTAAAAGAGTAATAAATAAAATAGAGATATAATAAAAAAAAAATTATAAAAATTATCTAATATTCTGTATTTTAGAACAAATAAAGCTTTTGAAAAATGTCTTATATGATGAGCAGGAGGGAGTAATTAAAGATTTTTTTAAAAAACTTTATTAATTATATCTTAAAAAATTTAAAATAACTTATATTTTTTAAAATAGAGTAATACTTAAAAAAACATGTCTTTAATAAAATGTACCCCACATAATCGTAGACACTGTTCACATAGGGATAGTTTATGCTGTTGAATGGAACGGCACACCCCTGAACTGGTTCAAATTTTGGGGGCAGGATACGTTTGCCGCTTGAAGTAGCATTCTTCCTGTTGGCTCCTTGAATGATTGCAACCTTCGAAAGAGTCGGTATAACGTTGTTGAGGTCAGCAGTGGATTCAAACATGTCGGACAGGAGAGAGCAGCAGAGGAAGAAGAACAAAGGGACGAAGAGTGCCATGCGGATAATCAAAAAGCAAAGCCCACAGCCGGTAGTACAAGACATTGAGGATGCAGTCTCGTCCTTCAGCGAAGATGAAACTCAGAAACTAAGGGTTGCTCTGTTGGAGTGGTACGATCATAATCGTAGAGACCTTCCGTGGAGGAGGACGTTAAGTCATAATCATGGTTGTGAAAAAGAAGAAGAAGAAGAAGTAGATTCAAGGGCGTATGGTGTGTGGGTCTCCGAAGTAATGCTGCAGCAGACTAGGGTTCAGACTGTTATTGGCTATTTTAACCGTTGGATGGAGAAATGGCCTACCATTCATGACCTTGCACAGGCCTCCCTTGAGGTTTGTGTGTGTAAATTTTTGGGCTTTGGTTCATTTACCGCATTTTTCTTTACTCGGATGGGTTTTAGAGCCCTCTCTTTATATTTATATATATATATATATATATATATATGTGTTCCTTCTTGGGTTGCATCATCTTGTCTTCTGGTTTTGAATGCCCTTTCCCATCTCTTTTCTCTTGCAATTTTTGTTTTAAATTTGTGCTTTCTGTGTTACCAGCTGACCTAATGATGCTATGGTAATAATCCTTTCTGTTATCTTGAAATCAGTCAATTGGCATAAAGCAAAATTTGAGAGGTAGAGATGCCACTGGTTAAAAAAAAGTTTGATCTCTGCCACATTTAGACTAGCTTAGGCGTTTCGGTGGGTGGGCTTTTAGGTAAAGGTCGAAAGTTTTCCTGATATAAGAAAACTTTTTTTAAATACTGCAAAAAAGTTGAAATATTTTGAAAACCTTCAATATTTCTTTTGGTGTTTTTAAAGCTAAAATTTTATCTTTTCTAATATCATGTTTTACTTTTCATTTTCAGTTTTTTTTTTTAAAAAAAACAATTCCTTGAAGGAAGAACCAACTTACTCACCTCATAAATGGTTCTGTCTTTACGCAGGAAGTGAATGAAATGTGGGCAGGTTTGGGCTACTATCGAAGAGCTCGTTTTCTCTTAGAGGTATTCTCTCTTTAGCGCTTTGTTTTCCCCTTACTTTCCATCATTTTCTATTAGGTGCCTTTGGAAATCATTCATTCTTTGTGCTGCATGGGTTAAGGACTAGTTACAATCTTGGGGGCGTTTGGTACCCTGCCATGATCATCAAATACAGGAGGCATAAAATGATACCATTTTATGTGATAAATCATACTACCTTAAAAACATGAGGAATTCATATCCTCGGAGTTCATAAGAAGTAAATTCCATTTTATTCCCTTGACCTGAAAATAGTTTGCTTGTTAATGATTTCAAGTGTATCATTCAACTTGCATGTGATTGTTCATTTTCCATAATCAGAAATTGAACAAATCACAGTGGTGCTGAATGAGACACTCTAAACTGCAAAGAGGAAAATTGTAATATGCTTTTCTCAAAATAAACCAATTTTATCCTTTTCAGTTTCCTTGACAGCTTTCAGCTGTCTCCTGCATAGCATGTTTTCTTAAATATCATGATATCCCAGATACCACGTATTGTAATATAGAGTTATATGTCATGGCCCTATAATAAGCCATCAAATGAAATTGCTGTACTTCCTTCTTATGGCTTAATGCTGCGAAGTGCAAACAATTGTACCATAAACATATTGTGCCTTCCATCATGCCTTTAGGTTCTTATTGAGTTACTACGTGCTTTTGCTTAAGAAGCAAAAGACATTGATTAATCATAGATTCTTTTGATTCTATTCTCAGGGTGCAAAGAAAATAGTCGCAGAGGGAGGAAGAATTCCTAGCTCAGTTTCTACACTACGAAGGATTCCTGGAATTGGAGACTACACTGCAGGAGCAATTGCCTCTATAGCATTCCGAGAAGTAAGGGTTATTCCTGTTACTTTGGTTTATGGGAAAGAAACCATTGCTCATGATTTAACATAACAGGCTGTACCCGTTGTTGATGGCAATGTGGTGAGGGTGATTGCTAGACTAAAGGCTATTTCTGCAAATCCAAAAGACTCGGTAACTATCAAGAGATTTTGGTGAGTTTTGTGAAATTCTTGTAAATCTAGAATTAAATTTTCTGTAAGGAATTCTAACTATGAATTTGACATGGGTGAAGAAACTTGTCTTTCTCTTATAAGTTATGTCTCATAAATTTGGTTTTTCACATGATGCTTGACCTGATTGGGAAACAATAGGAGAGAGACAGAAGTCATTTCTTGTGCAATAAATTGATGAATTTGTGTTGCTTATATTTCTAAGGAAAGAGGAAGTAAGTAAAGCTATGAGTAATCACATATTAGAAATATCACTTCAGATTCTTTTTGGCTTGTTTAGGAACAATTCATGAAGGTGACATGTGCATATTTTAAAAGAGAAAAGGGGGTGGGATTTTTTTTTTTTTTTTGGTGGGAGGTGGTGAATTTCCTATTTAACATGATGTGCTTCAATAGATGAGTTTTCTTCTTCCTATTCATTGCACCTATAGTACATGAATACACTATGCCAATCTCGTAAGTAGACTGCTTTCGTGTTGTTTCGTTGAATAAGCTTGTAACCTGGGGTTGTTTCATTTTCATTGTTTTATGTTGGATTGGAATGGAGATTAAGGAGATTAGCAGCTCAGCTAGTTGATCCTCTCCGCCCTGGAGACTTCAATCAATCTCTCATGGAACTTGGGGCAACTGTATGCACCCCTTTGAATCCAAGCTGCTCCTCATGTCCTGCATTGAAATTTTGCCGTGCACTGTCAATATCTAAAGATGACAATTCAGTACTTGTTACAGATTATCCTGTGAAAGGTGTAAAGGTTAAACAAAGATGCGATTTTTGTGCAGTATGTGTTGTTGAGTTACTCGGGTTTGGGCAAATGTTGGACAAGAACCAGTCTAGCAGTGAATTTATTCTTGTAAAAAGGCCCAATGAAGGACTGCTTGCAGGTCTCTGGGAGTTTCCATCTGTCTCACTGGATGGAGAAACTGATTCATTGGCTAGAAGAGAAGCAGCAAATCACTTCTTGAAAAGTATGCTCAAAATTGACACCAAAAAGACCTTTAACATAGTTTTGAGGGAAGATATTGGAGAATTTGTTCACATCTTCAGTCATATTCGCCTCAAGTTGTATGTTGAATTGCTAGTGTTACAATTGAAAGGTTTGATCCTCTCTCTTTTTGGCATTACTAATTGATTTTGGTTTTAAAGTCTTTTTGACTCATTTGATTTCACTTGAGTAATTTATTCTGAACTTATTTAATGTATTTTCATAATTTAAGAACTAAATTTCGTGAAATAATTATCTATGTCTACGAAACTTTGAAAGTTTTGGAGAATATCAGCATCTAAGGGTTTATGGCAGGTTGTTTCTTCCTTGCATTTAAATGGATTATTCTGTCTTTATGCTTGAGTAGGCTGCTGTATTCTTTTGACTGGCCTGCGTTTCAGCAAGCGTGTGTAAAAATTCATCTAATATCTTGTATCCTATAGTTTAGAAAACAATGTAAACTTCTGCTGCGAACAGGGTTACGTATGTGCATTTGAAGTTGTAAACAAATAAAATGATTGCATCATGGCTGCTCTTTGTTCTAATTTTAATTCTTTGTTTGTAAGGGCCGAAAGATAATTTCTCCAAAAGCCAGGGCAGTGAAACTACAACTTGTAAATGGGTAGATAGCAATGCCCTTTCAAGTATGGGGCTGACAACCAGTGTAAGAAAGGTAATATAGTTTATAGCATGTGATCATTTTGGTAAACCTGCTATGAATTTGTGAAGCTACTTAGCATAAGAGTTTAACATTTTCAACCTTTAGAAAAGAACAATAGACCTCAAACACTACGCAGTTGTCAGTATGTTTTTACAAGTCTATCAAGCCTTCTATTTCAGTTGGATTTTTTTATCATTTCAAATAAAATCACAAAGAAAAATGACCTAGGGCTTAGACCTTTTCTCAATAATTGCTATAAAGAGTTTTTTTTTTTTTTTTGTTTTTTTTACTCAGAAATCTCTTGCAGTTATCATAATTAATTCATTTAGCTTAAGTCAATTGAAACTTGGATGGAAGCGCAGCAAAAGAAAACAAGGACCATTCTGTTTGAGGATTGAATAGAACATAAGATAAATACATCAAAGAAAAGACTGGAAGTTTTCTTAACTATAATCTGCAGAACGGGAGGGTTTCTTCCTCATCATTCAAAATATAGGTCATTTCTTCTCGAGGTTCTCTGAATCCTTATGCAGATAACTCCAGTGCATTTGATTTGAACAATATACGGAAGGAATAAACATTTGATAACCACAGTGCATTCTGTCATTTTCTGTATTTCTTATGCTATTTTTGCATGGGACTTGTTTTATTAAGGATTTAGCTTCTGTAGAATTGCGTACCAAATTAAAAGTTCTCTTCCTTCATGTTTGATTTGAAACGTACTTCACAAAGTTCACCACTCTCTTATAAAAAAGGCCTTATTTAAGTTGGTGAGTGAGTCTTTTTTTTTTGGTTACAGAATTCTCTGTATTTTCTATCTCATTGAGGAATTCATGCTATGCATAATATATATATATATATGTATGTATGTATATATATTTTTAACCTTTAACACTTGTGATGTATGATTGATCGATGCAGGTATACAGCATGGTTCAGAAATTTAAGCAGAAAAATTTTACCTCTAAGCAAGTCCCAACAAAGAAGAGAAGTAGAACAACCACTTAGAAACCAACTTAGTGGCCTGCAGGGAGTGCTATGCTTATTGTTGCAGTTTTTCTCAATAAAAAATATAGTATTTTTCTTGCACTTATATTGTGTAAAGTGCTCTTCCACACCATTTTATTGTTTATTGGTGGCAAGCTCATGATCAGTTAGCAGTCTGGATTCTTCAGTCACTTCTTTAATTGCATGTAATATATTTTGTAAAAGAGAAAGATGAGATGAGTACATTTATAATATGTTTTTGTATCACTTTTTTATTTTTTGGCTAACATTTTTTGTATCACTCCTATTGGAATGTACTAACATTACTATGTCAATGCAGAAGGTTTTGGATTAGTTTGGTTAGCCATTTTTGCTGCTCTTTTATCAACACGATGAAGTCATTTGGTCATGATTTTTCCGGTTAATATAATTTAAGCATTTCTTTTTGGATTGCCGCTTTATATATAGCATTCCTTTTATTTATCCAAATATGCAAGTGTTTTCAAGCTTTAATGTAGCTGTCATTCCTGTGGTTTGAATCTGTGATGTACTTAAGCCAAAAAAAAAAAAAAAAAAGCTTTTATCGGTTTATTTGACCATAAATGATTTTAGAAATTAAAAAAAGAAACAGCATTGCAACAAGTTACTGATAAAACAAAAAAGAAAATTGAATGCACAAATAATTAAAAGTTCCATAATTTATCATTATTTCTTTTTATTTATTCTAAAATATAAGAAAATTGATCTTGAACTTTTACTCTTGTCAGACATTAGTCGTGACACTACTCTAAATCTTGCATATATTAAACAAAGGATAAAAAGGTAATTTTCCCTTTAAACTAAAGGCTGAGTTGAGATCCTAATTTTTTTTTTCAATTTTGCCCTTTAATATTTAAAAATGTTTCAACATACTCATTCTATTAATTACAAGAATGCTGATTGTTACTCGATACAAAAGGAATAAGCATTACCTTGTAATTAACAAGAAAGCACACACCAACCTTTTTAAATGCTGAGGGATAAAAGTATTAAAAAATTTAAGATCTTAGAGTATCTCTAGTTTCATTGTAAGGGTAAAAATTGATCTTTTACTCTTTTAAATAAATACACGAGATATGATGTGGGGAAAAAATTAAATGAGTAATTTAACGTTTGACAGACTGATCAAATATCAAAATTCTAATAGAACCCATAATTTTACAGATATTTCCAAGCCATTACGCAAATTACACTTTCTAACAAAAAGAGTAACTCGGAAAAAGACAAGCCAAAGGAGTTTGACACTTTGACCTGTCTTGGCTTTGGAGTATCATGTGGTTGAAACTCACTCTCCCGCAAGCTCATACCTCTTCGGCCTCTGGCTTCTACCATTAGGCGATTCTTGTCCTCTAGTGTTTAAGCTCATCTTCAAATTTTTCTCAAATAAATGGAACTAGGGGCACAAAAACCAGTGGTACATATTGTTTCAAGCACCATGTGGATCAGAAGGTTCTTTCAATATGTTCTTGTGATTAAACATCAATACAGCAAAACAATGGTCGGCGATTTCGTGTAAGAATAACTGGAGGGAAGATACCTATTAGTTTAAGAGAAAGAATGCAAATGGCAATTTCCTTAAGAGGAGCAATCGCTGATTCTTCTACTTTGAGGTTATCTTGGTCATCAACCACTTGTTCTTCATCTTCTTTGCATTTTACCCAGAATTTCATACCCAGTTCTTCGTCATTGTTGATACTCCCTTTGGTGAGTGGTTCCAACTATGATTTGACCTCTTTCAGCTTATTGAGTAGTTCTTCTTTTCTGGATTTTCTGAATTAAGTGAATTTAGAAGTTTAATTTCTCTAGACAATTCATGACCTCTATGTGTTTGTTTAATGTCTTCTAAGAGCTAAAGCGTAGAGTTCAATATAATTTAATGTCCCTTTGTCTGTTGTAGCTACAGCTTGATAGGTCTTCAATATAAAATAAATTCTGCTATCATAACATGATTTGGTAGTTTCTCAGCCGTTCAATCGTTATGAAAAGTTCAATCTCTTGAAAAGTTGAAGTATTTACCTTATTTTTGCGTAGAAGTTATAATTTATCAAATAAAATATAAACATCCCCATGTAAAATTAAGAATTGAATGGTGGAAACGCATCTTTTCAAGATGTTGAGCTCTAGGTAGCTGAAAATATGGTTAAGGCGTCACAATACAATTCTCTTTCATTTCAATTCGAATAATCATGTTTCATTGGGATATTGTAAATTGATGAGTAAATTTGCTTTCATTATCTGCTTTGCTTGAGCTGTAGACTACAAGTAAACTAGCAACTTCAAGCAGAAACAAGATCACTTGCTCTGCTGTTCAAGAATCTTCCACTAGTACAACAGGTGAGATTCTTCATTTATAACAAAAGTATGCTGTCCCGAAAATTTTTTTTCCCCTACAAGATAATTAGTCTAATCAAAGTTATATATGAGTGAAATGCCCGTGCAAATATATATGGACAATTTTTAAAATGTAGAGGTATAATTAAATAGTAGTATGAACTATAGTATTGAAAACCAGGTCAACCTGACTAGTTGAACTAGTGTCTTGATTGGTTTAATGAAATGTTTTGCTCATGATCAGTTTGATCGTGATTTTGATTATTAACCTTTAAACCAGTAGCTTGACTGATTTAATAACTAGTCCGATTTTTAGTTGATATAAACAATGTAAAAAGGCACATGAAAATTCAAAGCAAGAGATGAATCAGTACTATTCATAACTTCAGAATACAACTGATCCTCCATTTTTGATCGAACATATATCGATGATATTGATATCAATTTCTGGTCATAGCAACTGCTGAAACAAAAGAGGAGGTAAATGCAGCTCCGAAAGCAGCACCTGCAAAGAAGCCTCCTGCTAAAGCGCCAGTCAAACCTCTGCCTCAGATGATGGAGGAGGATGTGATACCTTCATTGAAAGCAATACTTGAAGCCCAACAAGACATCTCTGACATTGAGCTGGTCTTTCAGGACAATAAGGTTAGCAAGATGCTCCTCTCTGGATTGTTCCTATAATTGCTTTTCTATCCCCTGAAACTTTGGCTAAGTTTAGGAGTTACTAACACAGTAAAGCAAGTGATAATTATTAGAATCTAGTGCTAAATTGCTCTATTATTTAGAGAAAAAGTTTGAAGGGAACTTATACTTAATGATCACGATTTGATTTAGAGACACTATGTGCACATGTTGATTTATGTTCTTGTCGTATGGAGCAAATGTTCTGATTTTTGTATGAAGAAAATGTTAGTTGGTGGTGTATTAGTATAGACACCACGTGCGCATAAGAGTTTTTATCATCTGAATGTTGAAAGAGACAAGTATCTGAACAAAACCGAGGGGCACTTGGTTCAATGGGTCAATGGAATTGAATCAGCTTATTCCGGGATCCAAAGTTTGAGTCTTGAGATTTGTAGTTGGGTTAAATAAAAATGCCAAATATCTTCTTGAGATACATTTGAGGTCTCCTTTTAATGAACTTCTGAATCTTTCATTTTATTTTAAGTAGGTTTAAGAATTTGCAATGCTCCAGAAAATATTAAATTCATTTATGCATAAACTTATCAAGTTGATTGATTTATGTACTTGGCATGTTAGTTCACCTCTTATTCTAATTTACATTGGATTGATTTTAATTAACAGTTGGAAGGATCCTTTTTGAAACAAGGCAATCCCCATTCATTTTGGGCTTTCTTTCCTGATGGAGCGCTTACTGGTAAGTGCATTTGCCATTGTTATTGGCTTATCAAATTAATTAACACTGAAGCAAACACCATCAAGACCATTATATTTGTGTTCTTGAACAGGTCCAAAAGGGTTTTCTCTATCATCATATAACTCACAAGCAAGCACTGTTGAGCCATTCCTTGTTGATGAAAAGAAAATTACAGCAAAACATGTCATTTTTTGGGTTGAGAAACGCTTGGCTGCACAAGGGATTATTCCTGTGTGGGGAGATTAATCTCTTAAACATGAGTTTTCTTTCTGAAGTTCAAGTGATAATTAATGTGGCATACAATTCAACCTTCTCTCGTCTCTTGGTTCGAATGACTATAGTGCTATTTTGACCCTTGTGGTTTGTAAATGTCTTCATGATAGAGCATTCTATTGATCAATGAAAATGCCTTTTCAAAATGGGATAGGTGTTGACACATGCACACAAATATATATATGAATGTATATATGTATGTATGTATGTATGGAAGCAGCATTGGAAACCACCAGATTTTCTGTTTTGCCGTGGTAGCCTTTTAATAAAATCCATAGCTTTACTATGTTGCTATGCCATATTCCTTGAGGAATTGTTTAATGCTGAAGGATTGGTTATTTATCATTCCACGTGATGTTTTTCCTTCAGATTTACTCCCTCCTCTTCTTAATATAAGATCAATTTTTAAAAGCTTTTTTTAGCCTTTAATAGAAGACCAATTTAGAGTAATTATTTAATTTTCCTCTATCATCCTTATTTATTATGATTTATATTCTAAACAATAATTTACTATAGTTAGTAAATACAGAGAAACATAAACTTAAAAAGCTATATACTTCTTTTTTTAATAATTTTAAGGATATAATTAGTATTTCTTAATAATCATGAAATTGGTAACTTTGCCTTCTATCAAAAGCAAGAAGGAAGAGTATTTGTCCATCAGCTTAATTGTAGCTTAAAATAACCAACATGTAATTAAACTGACAAGCAGGATTTAGGTTTGATTTGGATGACAGGAAAAGTGAGAAGAACATATAAAGGAGAGAAGACAAAGGATAAATTTTCAAAATATATATATATATTTTTTACCGTTGTTAGAAAATTTACCTCCTAATTTTCTTTTCTCCCTATTTTTCTCCCTATCCGAACACAAAATTTAGTCCATTTCTTGACAATAAAACCTCTCAATTTCAGAATTTCAAATTCCAAAAAGCAAATATTTGGTTTGGTAACCTTAATATTATGAATATTTGAGCCTCTGAGTGATTAAGTAACAAACGCTAGCTCTGCTTTTCAGCCCAGTTCTTTCTTTCTTCCCTTTGTCTTTTTTTCCCTGGGCATATATTGATTTAGAAATTCATTGCTAAATCAAAATATATTTCTAGTTCCTACAAGCTGCTACAACTCAATTGCTCTTTAAGGGCAAAGCCTGTAAACGAGAAACAATTGATATCGTTACACTGTTGGGTATTATATGTCGCAAAACTAATTTATTGTCATCTCCAACAAAATCAATTTCCAGTAGATCAGATCAATGGAAACTGATAAATCATTTCCCTGATCCCCAAATGATGTCTAGCCCTCAACCTGCCAAAGAAATTAATAAACTTATCATTATAACAATTCTAAGCGAATCGGAGCTATCAAGAGCTAAGAAGATGCTACAGTTACGTTTGATTAAATTTTAAAAGGGAACAAGAAATTGGAATAACTGAAAAATTAACTTTCTCTATATATATTATGAATAAATAATGAACCATATAATATCAAGAAACATCAATAAATATACAAGAACCCAAAAGGAATATCAAAAAGGAAACAAGAGAACGTTAGCTACATTTGAACAGTACATTTTGAACTTCAGATAATATTAGCTTTTCAGGGCCTAGGGCAATGCTAGCCCACATCTCTACTTTAGATGCCTCTAGTTATTAGAAATAACTCGCTAGCCATTTGGAAGAAAAATACATAGCTCATTAAGTTTAGTAAAGTTGCATCTTCGTTGAAAGATCTAAACCATTCTAGTTACATGTACATATCTTACTACTCAACACATGAGAATGTAACATCGATCATATTCATAATCTGCACCAATTCTAGTTACATTCAACTCCACAAGTATGAAGAATGCTCTGATCGCTATGAGGTGACGGGCAGTGTAATAGTTATTTTATCATAAGAAATAAATGCTAACATTCGATTAAGCACGTTTTTTGAACTTCGAATCCAATGAAAATCACCATATAAACAGGATAAAACAAATCATTTAAATTAAAAAACCATGGTCGGTCAATCTAATAGGAACCGTTCCACTTAGTTTAACATGTCATTTCAGAGACTCCTTAGGCAGGCACCATTAATTACTTCTTAAAACCAAGATAAGAGAATTTGGAATTTTTATTATTCTGATGACTTTCTCGCATACATTCTGTGAATAGGTAAAAGTTTCTTCTTAATAGGACAATTTGGAACTCTAATGCTCATTTAACTTGGACAGCTGTGTTTTATAGAATCCATACACCTGGACGTCTATAGAAAGTCTCCAATTCAAAATGTAGGGATATGTCGGTTCTGCTGAATTTATGAGCTCCTTTGGCTTGTTCCTACGGTTATTGTGTTTAGCGGTTAGCTAAATCTTCATTTCCTCCCCCCAAATTAAATTTCTTCTAGTCATTCCTCCCACCCACACACACAGTCACACACACACACACACACATCCTTAAAGATGATTCTTGAAGTCCTTTTTACCTCACAACAAAGGTTGATAGTTCTAATACCTTTAAATGATTTCATTTCAAACTTGTATATTTAAAACAACTACAGCATCATATGCATTATTCACAGAAAGTAAATATTCTCAAGCATGAATATCTACCGCTAACAAACAAAAGAGAGGAATTAGTTTTCACTCTTCATTTCTCATCCCAAAAGTATCCTTATTGACTCAAATATTTATAAAATAAACTAACGAAATTAAAGGGTTGAAAAGGTACATTTGAAGTTATTCTTTTAAAGAAATAGTTTTAAAATAATAATTATTAAAATACATATGGCTACAGTTCCACTAATTTCAACTGCATATGCATGTGTTTGCCACTCTAGTTTTAAATGAAATACATGATTCAATGAACATAATCACAGTGACCAACACATATGTTTAAAAGGATAAGTATGTTTTATGATTTATTAGCTTGAGCTCACCCAATGTCAAATCATAATCTCAAAGTAACTTAAGAGCTAGACAGATTTCAGGTAGTTCCAGTAAACTTCAGAACCAGGTTGAAAAAACCCACCAGAATGTTTACAATACTCTAGAATTCTTAATTATTCATGGTGTGAGCAGATAAATACTTCCTGAATGTTTTATAATAAATTTCTCAATGAAAATGCATTTACTACAACTTTCACATCAAGCAAAAGAACATCCTCTATTAAAAGCGTGAATTTCTCGGACCTTTTCAGAATTCACAAGGTTAAAGTTATGCTTCATTGGACCATACCTCAAGAACTAAGGACTTGAACAGGTTTCAAACGAATTCATAAGGCAATGACATCTACTTTAGAGTCAATAGCCACATACAATTTGATAATGCTAAGAAATGTGGAAATCGCATATCTTACATGTTAATCAAAACTTCACTCAGTGGTCATTCAACGTTGATAGGAATGAACGTTGAATGATCATGTGTTGCAATGCCACATGATCAAAGTTATCAGAACTTATTTGGCAGATTAGGATTGCAATGCCACACCTCACAATCACATTAGTTTGCGTTCCTTTCCCCTAAATTTACTCAAATTGCCAAAGGGAAAAATGATCATGTGTTGCATGTTATGGAAACTCAGGGACCACAACCTAGGCTTTCCAACTAGTAAGAAATGTTCAAAGTCTTTTCCCTCACAAGAAAATCTGCAGTATTTCTAATTTTTCATAGATTTTGCAGAAGTCATAACATTAACCACCAAGAGAGAAAGGGAAACACTTAAAAAGTATACATTTTCCACACCATTCCACCAAAAGAACAAAAACGAAAAAAAAAAAAATCTCATAAGCCAGTTTTAAGGCGCGTTCCGTACGGAAATTTCCCAAAAGACAACCACATTTTTCTATAAAGAAAAAAATGTCCATATCAACGCAGGCTTTATAAAATTTTGGACAAAACGTAAATACCTGCTCGGATGTTGAATTTTGATGAGATAAAGGCTCAAGGTTGGACACTCTAGCTTCCAGAGCATCAAACTTCTGCTTCATCTGTAAGAAAATCGCAGACCACGACGATCCAGAATTAGCAAAAGTGCGACAGTTTGGAAATTAATGGGTCAAACGAATTCTAAATAATACGATTCGATTGACTTACATCAATAGTAAGAGCGTGGCGATCAACCCAAAGATCCTTCCAAACAAAGTGGGAAATCGTAGCAGCTGAGAACGTAAACCCTAGGCTGAACCAAAGCAACCGAGTCCGCAGCATTGTTGCCTGTGCTTGTTCTCGATCTTCAAAGATAAGAAACGAACCCGAAGGGAGACTCTCGCCTGCTTGAAGTTGGGACGAGTTTTGTCTGAAGGCAGTGAAGATTAAACTCGTTCACAAGACAGGAAGGAGGGGTGACGAATGGGAAATGGAGAAGGGAAAGACATGTTCTAGTGTTTGGTTGCTTCTTTACTTTATTGAGGAAGTTATTGGAGAATATTTATGTTGTGTTTGGTAAGAAAAAAAAAAAAAAGAATAAAATTAAGGGGAAATTGTAAAAAAAAAAAAAAAATTCACGGGCAAATTACTTGCTAAAAGGGTGCCGGAGAGTTTTAGAAAATGAGGTTCCTTTGTGTCATTATTGTTTTGTCATTCAAAGACCAAAATGCCTTGGTAAATAAGATTTGAAAGTTCAAAGGAAAAAAAATGTTTGACAGTGGCTGGCGTGAGCAGCGTAACGGACAAAGAAAGAAGGGGAAGAACTGATGTCACCGGAGGCTATTTAACTTGTTTGCGAGTTGAGGAATAATCAGGCGATAAGAAGGTGACAATGATACCCAGGCGACATTGGCGGCAGCATTGAAGTTTTTGCAGCTTTGGATCTAAGGTGCATTATTCAATGGTCTTAATCTTTTAAACTCATTCAAGTTGTTTAATTTATTTCAAAATTTGTATGGCCATTTGTGGGCATTTTATCTTGAAATGAGTAAGTAACAAATAATTTCTGACAATATTTAATTAGGGTGTGAACTTTAGAAAGTTTAGGTGGCAAGAAAGGATGGTGAAAGGGAAGGGGAAGGGGAATGAAGAACGGAAAGGGTCAAGAGTTTCTGATTTATGTAAAATCTCCATTCTTAAATACATAATTAACACATACTTAACTTTAAGATAGAGCTATCATGATATTTATAACTAATTTAATAATAAAAATATTATGGAAAGAAAACGATCAA